ATTCTTGTACTTGTTGCTTTATGAGGTCTACCTTGCAGTTGAGCTGCTTGTACACACAGTTGATATGTGTCTGCTTCGCCACCTATCTCCACCCACAAACTTTGAGCTACAGAAACCATTCTGGGCTTCAAATATTCAGCTCACTGAAGATATTATGGGGTGTTTTGAGGATTGTGATAATAAATTGTATTAATGTGTTCAGCAGAGTCTTGTGTTCTCACAAGCTCCTTATTAATATATATACAGAGGATGAGCGTCAGGGCCTACTTGGAGTCCTGTTTCCTTAGCTTCAAGCCTTCTTTCTCCTGCTAAAGTTATGCATCCAAGGTCCCCATGGCAACCAATTTGTGCACCTGGAGACACACAGCTGACTGGAAAGCTGCTTCTAATGGCCATATGAGACACATGAAGCCAAGCTCAGTACACATAGCACTGGGGATGACACTTAAAACCCTTTCCTAGAGCGTTTGAAAAAACGTCAGCCCCTATGTCCTCACATGACCTTTGACCTACAGAAACCATTCAGGACTTTAAAATTTAAGCTCATTGAGGACACTATGGAGTGTATTCAGATTTATATTCATTTAAATTTTTCACTTTTATAAGTCGCTCGGTGATGATTTATCATTTAATTTTTCTAACTAATTTAAACTCATTCAAACTGATTCAAACCTTTCTAATACATAAAAACTTAAACTTATTCCACTTCTCACCTTCCTGCCTTTTAAGGCAATTTCCTTTTTCATTCAAACTTTGTGCAATTTTAGACATTTTTCTAGCCTCTTTCAGCATGAATAAAATTTCCTTTTATAGAGCATATTCATACTATTTGTCCTTCAACCAATTAATCAATTATCCAACTTACATTTCTTTCTCACCCCTTCAACAGCTTTAACATCTATACCTTTCTCCATGTTTTATTAGCAGTTTAGCATTGCTTTTTCAGCTTTCAGCACTCAGCATTTCCACGCATTTTCTGCAAGGAAATGCAATTTTTCTAGTATTATACTTAACACTCTCCCCATACGTTTCTTTGGACCGCTTCTCCTCCTTCAAACTTTGTCCGATTTCAACCATTCAAACTTTAAACTATTCCACTCCATCAGGACATGTGTGCTTGTATTTTTTTCCTTTCTATCCTTTGTACTTTTTATTATTTTTCACTTTTTGTGCCAAACTTTTTTCCCATAGAAATGAATGGGGAAATCTTCCAATTCTTCCTGTTATTCGTCCACCTTCTAAGCCTTATAACTCCAGCAGACTTTCACCTAGAGACCTCATTTTTGCTTTAAAATGTTCATTGTCTTGTCGACTATTGATGTTGTATTAACGTCATTGTGCTATCTTTTACAGTTTTTCCACAATTTAGCTTTATGCAACTCGTGGTTTTCAGCAAATTTCAGGCTTTATAATAGGGGTGTATTGGAGAGGCTAGAGTGATGATTTGAAAAGCTAGAGTGCAGACCTCGTCTCTGATCGACAGAACCTCGCTCGAATATATCGCTCCCACGCCCACAAATCTCACTCCACTGACACAAATAATACATCAAAATGGAGGTATATGTGTCCTGCTTCTCACAAAAGAGGTTTCAAATCATTAAATCGTACCCCTTGGCCAGCAGGTGACCAACTGTCCAGATAGGCGCAAATATCTCCCCATTGGCCCTAATGTATTTCTTCTCCAAGAAAATCCTTATCGTCACTCAGGCTCAGACTTTTTTAACTCGCTGTTGTGGCCACATTTTTCGGAGTACAGACATGAAAAACACATCATTGTGTTCATGAAGGACGGAGGATTCGTACGATGTTCTTATTTTCATTCTGGGACTTAAGGAAATCACGCTATGTGAAGAAGTTCACAGGCTTCTAATCCTCTGCTGTTCAGCTGCTTGTCATTCAAACAGTAGGTCAGTGATTTGCCTTTGATCTCACAGCTGTTAGGGATGCAGTCATTAATGAGACACACACACACATTCTTGTACTTGTTGCATTGTCAGGTCTACCTTGCAGTTCACCTGCTTGTACACACAGATAATATGTGTCTGCTTCACCACCTATCTCCACCCACAAACTTTGAGCTACAGAAACCATTCTGGGCTTGAAAAATTCAGCTCATTGAAGATATTATGGGGTGTTTTGAGGATTGTGATAATAAATTGTATTAATGTGTTCAGCAAAATCTTGTGTTCTCACAAGCTCCTTATGAATTTATACAGAGGATGAGCGTCAGGGCCTACTTGGAGTCCTGTTTCCTTAGCTTCAAGCCTTCTTTCTCCTGCTATAGTTATTCATCCAAGGTCCCCATGGCAACCAATTTGTGCACCTGGAGACACACAGCTGACTGGAAAGCTGCTTCTAATGGCCATATGAGACACATGAAGCCAGGCTCAGTACACATAGCACTGGGGATGACACTTAAAACCCTTTCCTAGAGCGCTTGAAAAACCTTCAGCCCCTATCTCCTCACATGACCTTTGACCTACAGAAACCATTCAGGGCTTTAAAATTTAAGCTCATTGAGGACATTATGGGGTGTATTTAGGATTTATATTCATTTAAATGTTTCACATTTTAAAGTCACTCAGTGATAATTTATCATTTAATTTTTCAAACTAATTTAAACTCATTCAAAATGATTCAAACCTTTCTAATACTTAAAAACTGTCTGATACTTGAGGATTTTTAATTAATAAAATTTTCCCTGTTTTATATTATTTTTAATATTTATGCATTAATCCGTCCTTCAAACAAAATCCTACCTCTAGTACTACAACTACTTATGTCAATTAAACTAGAACTTTCCCCTCTACTTCAACTGCTATTGCTCCTATTTCTACTTTCTCTACTGCTGCTATTGCTACTATTTCTACTTTCTTTACTACTTTGACTTATACTTCTTTTATTCTCAATCTACTTCTACTGCTGACATAACTACTAGTATCACGACTTGACTTCTTATCATACTTCTTCTAGTACTACAACTTAAACTTATGCCACTTCTCACCTTCCTGCCTTTAAAGGCAGTTTCCTTCTTCATTCAAACTTTGTGCAATTTTAGACATTTTTCTAGCCTCTTTCAGCATGAATAGAATTTACTTTTATAGAGCATTTTCATACTATTTGTCCTTCAACCAATTAAACCATTATCCAACTTATATTTCTTTTTCACCCCTTCAACAGCTTTAACATTTATACCTATCTCCATGTTTTATTAGCAGTTTAGCATTGCTTTTTCAGCTTTCAGCACTCAGCATTTCCACGCATTTTCTGCAAGGAAATGCAATTTTTCTAGTTAAGTGGAAATGCTGATTAAGCATTTCCACTTATTGTTATTCTCCTGTTTCTTTATTAAACTTATTATTATTCTTCCGCCGATTTTTGGACCGCTTCTCCTCCTTCAAACTTTGTCCGATTTCAACCGTTCAAACTTTAAACTATTCCACTCATTCAGGACATTATGGCGTCTATTTTTTTCCTTTCTACCCTTTATACTTTTTGTTTTTTTTAACTTTTTGTGCAAAATTTGTACCATTAAAAATGAATGGGGAAATCTTAAAATCTACCTTTTCCTCTTCCACCTTCTAGACCTTATAACTTCTGCATACTTTCACCTAGAGACCTCATTTTTGCTTTAAAATGTTCATTCACTTGTCGACTATTACAGTTGTACTCAGTTTTTTGATATCTCTTACAGTTTTTCCACAATTTAGCTTTAAGCAACTTGTGGTTTTCAGCAAATTTCAAGCTTTATAATGGGTGTGTATTGGAGAGTTTAGAGTGATGATGTCATCAGCTAGAGTGCAGACCTCGTCTCTGATCGACAGAACCTCGCTCGAATATATCGCTCCCACGCCCACAAATCTCACTCCACTGACATAAATGATACATCAAAATGGAGGTATATGTGTCCTGCTTCTCACAAAAGAGGTTTCAAATCATTAAATCATACCCCTTGGCCAGCAGGTGACCAACTGTCCAAAAAAGGCGGAAATCTCTCCCATTGACTGTAATGTCATTTTTCTCCAAGAAAATCCGGATCATCGCTCAAGCTCAGACTTTTTTAACTCGCTGTTGTGGCCTCATTTTTCGAAGTACAGACATGAAAAACACATCATTGTGTTCATGAAGGACGGAGGATTCGTACGATGTTCTTATTTTCATTCTGGGACTTAAGGAAATCACGCTATGTGAAGAAGTTCACAGGCTGAAATTCACTGCAGTTCAGCACCTCTCAGTCAAACAGTAGGTTAGTGATTTGCCTTTGATCTCACAGCTGTTTAGGATGCAGTCATTAACGAGACACACACACACACACACGCACACACACCTTCTTGTACTTGTTGCTTTTTGAGGTCCACCTTGCAGTTCAGCTGCTTGTACACACAGTTAATATGTGTCTGCTTCACCACCTATCTCCACCCACAAACTTTGAGCTACAGAAACCATTCTGGGCTTCAAAAATTCAGCTCATTGAAGATATTATGGGATGTTTTGAGGATTGTGATAATAAATTGTATTAATGTGTTCAGCAGAGTCTTGTGTTCTCACAAGCTCCTTATCATGAATATATACAGAGGATGAGTTTTAGGGCCTACTTGGAGTCCTGTTTCCTTAGCTTCAAGCCTTCTTTCTCCTGCTATAGTTATGCATCCAAGGTTCCCATGGCAACCAATTTGTGCACCTGGAGACACACAGCTGACTGGAAAGCTGCTTCTAATGGACATATGAGACACATGAAGCCAGGCTCAGTACACATAGCACTGGGGATGACACTTAAAACCCTTTCCTAGAGCGCTTGAAAAAACTTCAGCCCCTATCTCCTCACATGACCTTTGACCTACAGAAACCATTCAGGGCTTTAAAATTTAAGCTCATTGAGGACATTATGGGGTGTATTCAGGATTTATATTGATTTAAATTTTTCACATTTTAAAGTCACTCAGTGATGATTTATCATTTAATTTTTCAAACTATTTTAAACTCATTCAAACTGATTCAAACCTTTCTAATACTAAAAAACTTTCTGATACTTGAGGATTTTTCATTAATAAAATTTTCCCTGTTTAAATTAGTTTGAATATTTATGCATTATTCCATCCTTTAAACAAAATCCCACCTCTAGTACTACAACTACTGCTAATGTCAATTAAACTAGTACTTTCCCCTCTACTTCAACTGCTATTGCTACTATTTCTACTTTCTTTACTACTTTGACTTATACTTCTTTTATCCTCAATCTACTTCTACTGCTGACACGACTACTAGTATCACGCCTTGACCTCTTATACTACTTTTAGTACTACAACTTAAACTTATGCCACTTCTCACCTTCCTGCCTTTTAAGGCAGTTTCCTTCTTCATTCAAACTTTGTGCAATTTTAGACATTTTTCTAGCCTCTTTCAGCATGAATAAAATTTCCTTTTATAGAGCATATTCAGACTATTTGTCCTTCGACCAATTAAACAATTATCCAACTTATATTTCTTTTTCACCCCTTCAACAGCTTTAACATTTATACCTTTCTCCATGTTTTATTAGCAGTTTAGCATTGCTTTTTCAGCTTTCAGCACTCAGCATTTCCACGCATTTTCTGCAAGGAAATGCAATTTTTCTAGTATTATACTTAACACTCTCCCCATACGTTTCTTTGGACCGCTTCTCCTCCTTCAAACTTTGTCCGATTTCAACCGTTCAAACTTTAAACGATTCCACTCCTTCAGGACATGATGGCTATTACTTTTCTTTTTTCTACCCTTTATACTTTTTATTATTTTTCACTTTTTGTGCCAAACTTTTTTTCCCATAGAAATGAATGGGGAAATCTTCCAATACTTCCTGTTATTCGTCCACCTTCTAAGCCTTATAACTTCAGCATACTTTCACCTAGAGACCTCATTTTTGCTTTAAAATGTTCATTGTCTTGTCGACTATTGATATTGTATTAACCTTTTTGTGCTATCTTTTACAGTTTTTCCACAATTTAGCTTTATGCAACTTGTGGTTTTCAGCTAATTTCAGGCTTTATAATAGGGGTGTATTGGAGAGGCTAGAGTGATGATTTGAAAAGCTAGAGTGCAGACCTCGTCTCTGATCGACAGAACCTCGCTCGAATATATCGCTCCCACGCCCACAAATCTCACTCCACAGCCATAAAAAATACATCAAAATGGAGGTATATGTGTCCTGCTTCTCACAAAAGAGGTTTCAAATCATTAAATCTTACCCCTTGGCCAGCAGGTGACCAACTGTCCAAATAGGCGGAAATCTCTCCCCATTGGCTCTAATGTATTTTTTCTCCAAGAAAATCCTTATCGCCACTCAGGCTCAGACTTTTTTAACTCGCTGTTGTGGCCACATTTTTCGGAGTACAGACATGAAAAACACATCATTGTGTTCATGAAGGGAGGAGGATTTGTACGATGTTCTTATTTTCATTCTGGGACTTAAGGAAATCGTGCTATGTGAAGAAGTTCAGAACCCTAAATTCACTGCAGTTCAGCAGCTTCTCCATTCAAACAATAGGTCAGTTCATGGCTTTGATCTTACAGCTGTTAAGGATGCAATCATTAACGAGACACACACACACACACACACACACACACACACACATTCTTGTACTTGTTGCTTTGTGAGGTCTACCTTGCAGTTCAGCTGCTTGTACACACATTTAATATGTGTCTGCTTCACCACCTATCTCCAACCACAAACTTTGAGCCACAGGAACCATTCTGGGCTTCAAAAATTCAGCTCATTCAAGATATTATGGGGTGTTTTGAAGATTGTGATAATAAATTGTATTAATGTGTATAGCAGAGTCTTGTGTTCTCACAAGCTCCTTTTCAGGAATAGATACAGAGGATGAGCGTCAGGGCCTACTTGGAGTCCTGTTTCCTTAGCTTTAAGCCTTCTTTCTCCTGCTATAGTTATGCATCCAAGGTCCCCATGGCAACCAATTAGTGCACCTGGAGACACACAGCTGACTGGAAAGCTGCTTCTAATGGCCATATGAGACACATGAAGCCAGGCTCAGTACACATAGCACTGGGGATGACACTTAAAACCCTTTCCTAGAGCGCTTGAAAAAACTTCAGCCTCTATCTCTTCACATGACCTTTGACCTACAGAAACCATTCAGGGCTTTAAAATTTAAGCTCATTGAGGACATTATGGGGTGTATTCAGGATTTATATTCATTTAAACTGTTCACTTTTATAAGTCACTCAGTGATGATTTATCATTTAATTTTTCAAACTAATTTAAACTCATTCAAACTGATTCAAGCCTTTCTAATACATAAAAACTTTCTGATACTTGAGGATTTTTAATTATTTAAATTTTCCCTGTTTAAATTAGTTTTCATATTTATGCATTATTCCATCCTTCAAACAAAATCCTACCTCAAGTACGACAACTACTGCTAATGTCAATTAAACAAATACTTTCCCCTCTACTTCAACTGCTATTGCTCCTATTTCTACTTTCTCTACTGCTGCTATTGCTACTATTTCTACTTTCTCTACTACTTTGACTTATACTTTTTTCTCAAACTACTTCTACTGCTGACATGACTACTAATATCACTACTCGACTACTTATCATACTACTTCTAGTACTACAACTTAAACTTATGCCACTTCTCACCTTCCTGCCTTTAAAGGCAATTTCCTTCTTCATTCAAACTTTGTGCAATTTTAGACATTTTTCTAGCCTCTTTCAGCATGAATAAAATTTCCTTTTATAGAGCATATTCATACTATTTGTCCTTCAACCAATTAAACAATTATCCAACTTATATTTCTTTTTCACCCCTTCAACAGCTTTAACATTTATACCTTTCTCCATGTTTTATTAGCAGTTTAGCATTGCTTTTACAGCTTTCAGCACTCAGCATTTCCACGCATTTTCTGCAAGGAAATGCAATTTTTCTAGTATTATACTTAACACTCTCCCCATACGTTTCTTTGGACCGCTTCTCCTCCTTCAAACTTTGTCCGATTTCAACCGTTCAAACTTTAAACTATTCCACTCCTTCAGGACATGATGGCTATTACTTTTCTCTTTTCTACCCTTTATACTTTTTATTATTTTTCACTTTTTGTGCCAAACTTTTTTTCCCATAGAAATGAATGGGGAAATCTTTCAATTCTTCCTGTTATTCGTCCACCTTCTAAGCCTTATAACTTCAGCATACTTTCACCTAGAGACCTCATTTTTGCTTTAAAATGTTCATTGTCTTGTCGACTATTGATATTGTATTAACCTTTTTCGGCTATCTTTTACAGTTTTTCCACAATTTAGCTTTATGCAACTTGTGGTTTTCAGCAAATTTCAGGCTTTATAATAAGGGTGTATTGGAGAGGCTAGAGTGAGGATTTGAAAAGCTAGAGTGCAGACCTCGTCTCTGATCGACAGAACCTCGCTCGAATATATCGCTCCCACGCCCACAAATCTCACTCCACTTACACAAAAAATACATCAAAATGGAGGTATATGTGTCCTGCTTCTCACAAAAGAGGTTTCAAATCATTAAATCCTACCCTTTAGCCAGCAGGTGACCAAATGTCCAAATAGACGGAAATCTCTCTCCATTAGACCTAATGTACTTCTTCTCCAAGAAAATCCTTTTCCCCACTCAGGTTCAGACTTTTTTAACTCGCTGTTGTGGCCACATTTTTCGGAGTACAGACATGAACTTCGTACGATGTTCTTATTTTCATTCTGGGACTTAAGGAAATCACTCTATGTGAAGAAGTTCACAGGCTGAAATTCACTGCAGTTCAGCACCTCTCAGTCAAACAGTAGGTCAGTGATTTGTCTTTGATCTCACAGCTGTTTAGGATGCAGTCATTAACGAGACACACACACACACACGCACACACATTCTTGTACTTGTAGCTTTTTGAGGTCCACCTTGCAGTTCAGCTGCTTGTACACACAGTTAATATGTGTATGCTTCACCACCTATCTCCACCCACAAACTTTGAGCTACAGAAACCATTCTGGGCTTCAAAAATTCAGCTCATTGAAGATATTATGGGGTGTTTTGAGGATTGTGATAATAAATCGTATTAATGTGTTCAGCAGAGTCTTGTGTTCTCACAAGCTCCTTATGAATATATACAGAGGGTGAGCGTCAGGGCCTACTTGGAGCCCTGTTTCCTTAGCTTCAAGCCTTCTTTCTCCTGCTATAGTTATGCATCCAAGGTCCCCATGGCAACCAATTTGTGCACCTGGAGACACACACCTGACTGGAAAGCTGCTTCTAGTGGCCATATGAGACACATGAAGCCAGGCTCAGTACACATAGCACTGGGGATGACACTTAAAACCCTTTCCTAGAGCGCTTGAAAAACCTTCAGCCCCTATCTCCTCACATGACCTTTGACCTACAGAAACCATTCAGGGCTTTAAAATTTAAGCTCATTGAGGACATTATGGGGTGTATTTAGGATTTATATTCATTTAAATGTTTCACATTTTAAAGTCACTCAGTGATGATTTATCATTTTATTTTTCAAACTAATTTAAACTCATTCAAAATGATTCAAACCTTTCTAATACTTAAAAACTGTCTGATACTTGAGGATTTTTAATTAATAAAATTTTCCCTGTTTTATATTATTTTTAATATTTATGCATTAATCCGTCCTTCAAACAAAATCCTACCTCTAGTACTACAACTACTTATGTCAATTAAACTAGAACTTTCCCCTCTACTTCAACTGCTATTGCTCCTATTTCTACTTTCTCTACTGCTGCTATTGCTACTATTTCTACTTTCTTTACTACTTTGACTTATACTTCTTTTATTCTCAATCTACTTCTACTGCTGACATGACTACTAGTATCACGACTTGACTTCTTATCATACTTCTTCTAGTACTACAACTTAAACTTATGCCACTTCTCACCTTCCTGCCTTTACAGGCAGTTTCCTTCTTCATTCAAACTTTGTGCAATTGTAGACATTTTTCTAGCCTCTTTCAGCATGAATAAAATTTCCTTTTATAGAGCATATTCATACTATTTGTCCTTCAACCAATTAAACTATTATCCAACTTATATTTCTTTTTCACCCCTTCAACAGCTTTAACATTTATACCTTTCTCCATGTTTTATTAGCAGTTTAGCATTGCTTTTTCAGCTTTCAGCACTCAGCATTTCCACGCATTTTCTGCAAGGAAATGCAATTTTTCTAGTATTATACTTAACACTCTCCCCATACGTTTCTTTGGACCGCTTCTCCTCCTTCAAACTTTGTCCGATTTCAACCGTTCAAACTTTAAACGATTCCACTCCTTCAGGACATGATGGCTATTACTTTTCTCTTTTCTACCCTTTATACTTTTTATTATTTTTCACTTTTTGTGCCAAACTTTTTTTCCCATAGAAATGAATGGGGAAATCTTCCAATTCTTCCTGTTATTCGTCCACATTCAAAGCCTTATAACTTCAGCATACTTTCACCTAGAGACCTCATTTTTGCTTTAAAATGTTCATTGTCTTGTCGACTATTGATGTTGTATTAACCTTTTTCTGCTATCTTTTACAGTTTTTCCACAATTTAGCTTTATGCAACCTGTGGTTTTCAGCAGATTTCAGGCTTTATAATAGGGGTGTATTGGAGAGGCTAGAGTGATGATTTGAAAAGCTAGAGTGCAGACCTCGTCTCTGATCGACAGAACCTCGCTCGAATATATCGCTCCCACGCCCACAAATCTCACTCCACAGCTATAAAAAATACATCAAAATGGAGGTATATGTGTCCTGCTTCTCACAAACGAGGTTTCAAATCATTAAATCGTACCCCTTGGCCAGCAGGTGACCAACTGTCCAAAAAAGGCGGAAATCTCTCCCATTGACTGTAATGTTATTTATCTCCAAGAAAATCCGGATCATCGCTCAGGCTCAGACTTTTTTACCTCGCTGTTGTGGCCTCATTTTTCGGAGTACAGACATGAAAAACACATCATTGTGTTCATGAAAGGCGGAGGATTTGTACGATGTTCTTATTTTCATTCTGGGACTTAAGGAAATCGTGCTATGTGAAGAAGTTCAGAACCCTAAATTCACTGCAGTTCAGCAGCTTCTCCATTCAAACAATAGGTCAGTTCATGGCTTTGATCTTACAGCTGTTTAGGATGCAATCATTAACGAGACACACACACACACACACACACACACACACACACACACACACACACACACACACACACACACACACACACACACACACACATTCCTGTACTTGTTGCTTTGTCAGGTCAACCTTGCAGTTCAGCTGCTTGTACACACAGTCAATATGTGTCTGCTTCACCACCTATCTCCACCCACAAACTTTGAGCTACAGAAACCATTCTGGGCTTCAAACATTCAGCTCATTGAAGATATTATGGGGTGTTTTGAGGATTGTGATAATAAATTGTATTAATGTGTTCAGCAGAGTCTTGTGTTCTCACAAGCTCCTTATCATGACTATATACAGAGGGTGAGCGTCAGGGCCTACTTGGAGTCCTGTTTCCTTAGCTTCAAGCCTTCTTTCTCCTGCTATAGTTATGCATCCAAGGTCCCCATGGCAACCGATTTGTGCACCTGGAGACACACAGCTGACTGGAAAGCTGCTTCTAATGGCCATATGAGACACATGAAGCCAGGCTCAGCACACATAGCATTGGGGATGACACTTAAAACCTTTTACTAGAGCGCTTGAAAAAACTTCAGCCCCTATCTCCTCACATGACCTTTGACCTACAGAAACCATTCAAGGCTTTAAAATTTGAGCTCATTGAGGACATTATGGGGTGTATTTAGGATTTATATACATTTAGATTTTTCACATTTTAAAGTCACTCAGTGATGATTTATCATTTAATTTTTCAAACTAATTTGAACTGATTCAAACTGATTCAAACCTTTCTAATACTTAAAAAATTAAACTTATGCCACTTCTCACCTTCCTGCCTTTTAAGGCAATTTCCTTCTTCATTCAAACTTTGTGCAATTTTAGACATTTTTCTAGCCTCTTTCAGCATGAATAAAATTTCTTTTTATAGAGCATATTCATACTATTTGTCCTTCAACCAATTAATCAATTATCCAACTTACATTTCTTTCTCACCCCTTCAACAGCTTTAACATTGATACCTTTCTCCATGTTTTATTAGCAGTTTAGCATTGCTTTTTCAGCTTTCAGCACTCAGCATTTCCACGCATTTTCTGCAAGGAAATGCAATTTTTCTAGTATTATACTTAACACTCTCCCCATACGTTTCTTTGGACCGCTTCTCCTCCTTCAAACTTTGTCCGATTTCAACCGTTCAAACTTTAAACTATTCCGCTCCATCAGGACATGATGGCTATTACTTTTCTCTTTTCTACCCTTTATACTTTTTATTATTTTTCACTTTTTGTGCCAAACTTTTTTCCCCATAGAAATGAATAGGGAAATCTTTCAATTCTTCCTGTTATTCGTCCACCTTCTACACCTTATAACTTCAGCATACTTTCACCTAGAGACCTCATTTTTGCTTTAAAATGTTCATTGTCTTGTCGACTATTGATGTTGTATTAACCTCTTTGTGCTATCTTTTACAGTTTTTCCACAGTTTAGCTTTATGCAACTTGTGGTTT